GCGAAACTTTAATTCCTGCGAGATAAACGCGCAAATAGATTGAACTTTAATAGGTAATTTGAATGTCGCAATGGGAGAGGATTCGTAGGTTTGTTACCGTTCATATTCAGTCCAGAGAGAAAACTTTAACAGGCAATTTTACATCATCTGCTTATAATGCCTAACTTGGCGGTTATAAATTCAATGTTTTTTAAAGAATACAGAAATTGTCCACTTCTAATTTAATTAGTACAACTTCGCAAGAACAATGCAATAATACTGCAACTTAAAATCGACAGTGTTTTTTTAAATAACTCTTATATTTTGGAATTGTGTTAGGAATAGTATGTGTTACATGAATCCGTACCAGCACATACAGATGTCCATAAGGACCTTCATGAATGCGAACATTTGAACGGACGTTCAGCGGACATCAGATTGTGTACACTGGATGTAATATAGATGCCTACAATGCCTACATATTGTGTTTAATTTACAAACTTACTTACTTAACTTAAATGAATGAATAAATAAAAATCAATTAAAAATAAACAGAATGCAACATCAATGAGATCGTTTTCTGTAATTTCTTTTTACACCTTTTTCCACTTACACAAACGAAGCAAAAGTCAATATAAAGATGTACTCTCGAGTCAAATAAACGAAACTGACACATAATAGAAATATATTAAAAATCTCCACAAAAACAACAAAACTATAATTTGATTTAATTTATTAAAATATCAAAATAAATATATAAAATATTCAATCAATATTTGTTAATAATTTCTACACACTGATTGATTATATTAAGAAATTGCTAATCTTCTGATATATGCCAAAAGTACGGATAATGAACGATAGCTATTGACATATGCACTTAAAATGAATCAGAAACGGACGGCCTGATGTTTTATGCTGTAAAATAAAGGGCCAGCCAGCCAGCATTTAAAAAATCAGACAATTACTTTAAAAATTTGCCAAGACTTTAGAAGATTGGGTGTAAGATTAGGCATTTCACCAAACCCTGTCTATTTATTTTTAGGAGTGTGGACTGGAAGATTATCACACCATTAGAAAAGATGCTTATTTAAAAAATATTTTTCATCTTTTCGCAAGAAGTTCACAATTCAAATTAAAATACGTTGGCACATAAACATCCTGTATTAATGAAACTATTTTTTAAACGTATGTAAAAACTAGACACGTTCAAATTTTAATTCATCTAGATAAATTGTTTCTATGAAATTTTGCCATGAGGCTGTTGTTTAATTGTTATTCTTATATATATTCTAAAATACCCAATTATGCTCTGATTTAAGACGTCAGCGTCCAACCAAAAGTAACCATTTCAGGGTTTTCTTGTACTTTGGGCACGGATTTAGGTGCGATCGGATGTTTTCGGATGGTAATAAGACATTTGTACATTCTGACGTTCATGTCACACGTCACTTAGAAAATATATGTGCTGTTTTACAAAAATATAGCCAAAAACTTCTACAGTGACTCGCTCTGTAGTACTCTGTTAGTGTCAAAACTAACTTGTGACTAATAGTCGCTTATCAAGTATTTACAAAATTTTGTATTCATAATCAAATGTTTTTATTCGCTTACTTATAATAACATTCTCAATTCTCAGTTTCATCGGCATATTTTGAAATTATATTGTATTTTAACATAGCAAATTAATAATTCAAAATTAAACATCTCCGTTTCTTAGAGCCGATTAATTAAAGTCATTTACGTAAATATAATGTATTCTCTATTTTTGCAAAACTCACGATATATTTTTTTTACCTAATTCCCTTCGGGTGCATACCTCATTCCGAGAATTTCTAAATTAAAGGGATTCATTTTTCACTTTCGGTTACAGCGTGTAGTGGGTGACCAACAAAAGGGCATTTCCAGACCCTTATTTCGCATAATGAATCGGATTTTGAAAAAGTATCGTATCCTCTCGCATGAAATTCGGCCATTGTGAGAAAAAAGGAACAAAGATGCCGATATCAAATTATGTTTTTTTTTTCCTTCGAAGTAGGTACGTACGTTGACCTTCCTAGTTTTGTGCAAATACGAGCCTTTTCGATTTTTTCGGTTATTGATGGATTGCACATGTTCGGTCGGGTCCTTATGCTGATGGTTTCTTTTTTCGTCCCGGCGAGGGTGGGATTTTCAAGAGCTTCCGCATTTTTTGCGGTCACCTGGGGGGCGCGCAAAACCATACAATTCGAATTTTCGCTTTAAAAACCGCAAATTCGACGAGTTTGTTGTCTTCAGATTGGTTCCAGAAGCGGCGATTTTAATTCAACGCGGGAGGTGGCGAAATGAAAGAAATTGGGTGTTGGCGCCTCTTCTTGGGTGCCGATATGACGCTGACCATCAATTTTTTTTTCTTTCGATAAGTGTGAATATGCGTTGTGATAAGTTTATAGGTAAGATAGAATAGGATTTCTAGTAATCCAAAGACCTCTCATGGAATTTAGGGGTTGACATGAAAAAATCGAGGAAGAGGATCATCATCACCACCTGGAATTACTATTTTTAATTATTCCTCAATTTTAATTATTTCCCTTTTTATTACATTAGAATTGATACTCCTTATTAAAATCTGTAACTTGAAAAAGAGCTAAGCGAAAGACAGAAGCATTAGCCAAAATCAAATAATCATTTGAGTGTGAATTTGAGCATGAATGGTTTTGCCTATCCCACAGTTTTAGATTTTTCAATTTTTTGCTTTTTAGTTATGATAAATTAACACGATTTTTTATTATTTTTATTTTAAAGATATTTTTGTACCCCCTACTCTAAAATATCCAAAAATACCGTATTTCGACGATTGACAATTGTACTGAAAAAGTTGCGGTCGTATCAAAAATATAGTATAACTTAACAAAACGCATAACTTTTCGTTTATCAAACTTATGGAATCCGTTTTTTATCCTTGGTTAAATATCTCCTTTTCATGCTCAAATTTTCTATTAAGGGAGGATTATATTCCTTTTTCTAGTCAGCAAGAAACTTTTTTCAAGGATTTTGCGAATATAAAATTAGTAAGAAGAAGCCGGGTTCTTACTAAAAATTTTTATTTTGTTGTACCGGAAAAAAGTGCCAAAATATGAATAATGGAAGAACCTCATCAACGTCAAAAGTCTCTGAATTTAGAACCCTAAAAATGAGAATTTTGTCATAAAAAAACAAGAGGCAAAGCAAGTTAATGAAAATAAAATTTAAAATTGCGAATTTCAGGATAAAATATAAATTCAACGAAATAATAAAACTTTTTGTATAATAATAATAATTAATAATAATAAATCGCATAATGTTAATAATACTTAAATAATAATACTAATACGAAATATACATATTTAGAACAAACCAAATAACATGGGTTGTTGTTAAGAACTCTCTCCACTGCGTAACATTACTTTGGCGCTTTTTTTCCAACGGGCCACTAGGGTCGCTTTGCCGCCATTCAGGTAAAAGTATACGAAAGACCATTTCGTCATAATCGACATATCAAACGCATAGGAATTATTGACAAGAGACCAATGGTCTCTGACAGCTTTCGATTCGCCACCCCACACGCGGGCATATTTTTTCAATTGACAATGAATAAAACCCCGGTCGCTTTTCGATGTTTTTTCAATTTCGGTATCCGATTAACTTGTTTATTCACCATATGTCCGGCGCAGAATGGACCACTCGTATTTTTCTTCAAAGATCCCAAGCCCAGAATTTAAGTGCAATGTTATTTGTGCAATCGATGTTTTAATAATGAACAAATCTGGATGTGGAACTGAACGATCAATTTTTTCCAAGTGTGTTGCCAAACTTTGTCTTAGTTCCAGGATGTTTAAGTCAAAAACACTTTTGCACAAAAGAAATGTACAGCTCCGAGTTTTCTTTCCTTTTTTTATTATTACATTTGAGATTCTAGGTTTGCTTTTCAAATAAAACCTAAAAACCCGTTTGGGTTTTATCAAAAAGTATTCATTTATTCATCAAAAGTAATGTTATGCCCTTCAAAGTAATCCCCCACTTGCCCAGTTGCGTCAACGTTTTTTCCAATCCTCGAAGCACTTCTGGTAAATACTTTCTGATATAGCCTTGAGTTCTTCCAGCGATTTTTTCTTTAGCTCCTCAATCGTTCCAAACCTTTCATGGGTTTCTTGAGTTTTGGGAACAGGGAAGAGTCGCAGGGGGCCATATCCGAGGAATATGGTGGCTGAGGCTGATTGTGGTTTTGTTTTTGGCCAAAAAGTTAGACACAAGCAACGATGAGTGAGCAGGTGCATTATCATGATGCAAAATCCATGAATTGTTTTCCTACAATTCCGGACGTATTGCAAACGGCGGATAATTTCAAGGTAATATTCTTAATAATCAAAATAAAACAGTATGATTTATGATATTTTTTTGTTCCATTTATTCCAAACTGGCTGAAACTGTGAACACATGTTAAAAAATATGTATGGAAGACGGATGTACGTAACCCACCCAATTACAAAAATCACCTTACGTTTTGAACACACCTCGTATACTAGAGCCTAACGGAAGCAGACAATTTTTGAAAAATTTTAATTTCTAACCAGGCAATATTCGCATTGGAAATAGTAATATATTAAAATTTGAATTTCAGTAAGTGAACATAATGTCTAAGTACAATTTAAAAAAAAAAAATAAGTTTAATGTTATGTGATTTCATTATATGCTCGTATGATCCATTTGAACTGGGAGAGAGTTTAGATTTTATATAATTGATCCTCGAAATTTATGAAATATTGAACTTTTTTTAGCGAATTTATAATATTTTTTTATTTTCTTCACACTGGATGTTTAATCTGAAGTTTCTGTAGGGCAAACTTATTTTTTTCGACAAGTTTAGTGTGAAACCAAAACGAGTAATGTCCGCTCTAGTCTTAAGCACAATGTGTACTGAACTAGGAAAAAAGATTTGTTTAGTTTTTCCTTTCGATCATGACATGAAATTAAAAAAAATCGAATTTTCAGTTTTTGACCGTTATATTTTCGTTTTAAATAAATGTCAATTTTATAACTCAATAAGTATCGTACGGCGGTCTGCCATATCTGTCGTAAAGTGAGGTCCAGAATGGTATGCTGTAATTGTTGAAATTGCTCGATATTTGAAAATTCGCCCCGATGTCGAAATAACTAACGTTATTCGATAACGCCACGGGCCATATTGCGTTGTCTAGAAGGCTGTCGGCTTCTGGTGTCGGATTACTGAAAATAATAATTAATGTTTTCACAATAACGGTTTTACCCGAATCTGCTTTCTTACGAGAATTTCGCGAAATTGATCCACAATCTGACTAGCTTATTTCTAATCACTATGTCCTCCTCTGGAGGTGACTGCAAGGAGTCTTCTCGACGCCATAAATAGTTTAACTCTTCCGCGTGAGACACCCCTAAAAGAATAATAGAGATTGATTTCGTTATTTCAGTACTTTTTGAAATTTGAGACTCTAAAAGCTACGTATCTATTTGCCCAGTAATTATTTACATACTTTGCTTCTAACATAGACTAAATTTAATCTTCGAATAATTGCACTGGTATGAAGGTGGTCCAAGATATATAAGTTCAAAATAATGACTGGCGTTAACAAAAGATGGAAAAAAATTGTATTTTTCAATATTGTTTAACCCAAACCTTAGAGTGCCACAATCGTTACTCAAACTAAAATAGTAAATAATGAAATATATTCTTAAAAAAGAATAAAAACGAACAAAATTAACATTTTCATTGAGAAAGACACATGACACAATAACGCGTTTTACCATAAACCGAAACTCAATTTGGCATCTTCAGGAGAAGATTAAAACTGAAGATGCCAACTTGGTTGGCGAAAAGCGCGTCGACTACGTAAAATTGAGTGTCGGTTTGTGGTAAAACGCGTTAATGTGTGTTAGTGCAGTGCTGAAGGTTCCAGTCAAGAGTTTGAGACACATGAAATAAGTATTTAACTTATTTAATATGTTAAGTAAGTTGCAAATCGCAAAACCAATCATGTCCATAAGTTTCTTAGTTGTCTTAATTGACATCTGTGGTTTATGCATATGTATATGATGTTAATAAAAGTTAGTTAGCAAATAATATACTATTTGTACCTGGTCCATTTCTGGATGGGTTACCCAATAACCCTTCGTAAGAGAACCTGTATAGATATACGGGAACCCTTGCAGACATGAGGCGTGCCATTTCGTAAATTCCTCGCACAAATTGATCGTCAGTGACGTACTAAGACAAACTATATTGCAATTTATTTTTGAATCCAAACATACTTACTTGGGTTATTTGAGTAGTGGATAGAACGGCTGGAATAAAACCCAAATAGTGATCTTTTACCGATGTGGCAACTATGGCTAGAGTTACGACGTCGACAGGAATAATATTCATATCGATGGGTATGAGCCGCCTGGGAAATGCGTCATACGTCAACAGATAAATTCTAAGTTGGTTGATGACTGGAAACCCATTAACATAGATAGAGCAACTTAGAAAATTTCTTACGTACACGTCTCCAGAGCTATGGCCTCTTGTGAAGTAAAGCCCATCATGTAAGGGATTTGAAGAAAAGAGCCTTCAGAAAGCTTTTCGTGACTCTTGCCCACTACTACAGCTTCGTCCACATCAGGTTCCGTAGAAGGAGCGAAAACCAAACCATCTCTGGGGTTAGTAAAAAGTGTTTGCTGCAAAAAAAATGTTGCAATAAGAATTCAAATTGCCTGCGTAATACATACACCTAAGTTTTGAGTAATGGATTTTGTCAATAACGTCACCGCATCTACTTGTCTGAGTCGGGATATTAAATCAGAAGTTCTAAATGCCGTCAACCCTAACAAAGAGCCTACGGCAAATGCCGTTTCCTTGGGTTTTCTGGCCAGAGACCACAAATCTAGTGATGACCCGCTTTCTAAAATAGCCCTGTGAAAAAGTCCTGAAAGGTTGAAAAACTATATGAGTAAAAGTCACTATAGATATTCGGGATATACCTGTGGCTTTCGATGTCTGACAGAGATAGGAAACTGAAGCTGACCCAGCACTTTGTCCAAAGAGGGTTATCGACCCAGGGTCGCCTCCGAATAATTTTATATTGGTTTGAACCCATTGTAAGGCCATGATTTGGTCCTTCAATGCCCAGTTGCCTAAAGCTGCGTCATCTTCGGTACTCAAAAATCCTAAACATGAACATGAATATGTGTGAAGTAAAGTTATTCAGATTTTATTACCGAATATTCCTAATCTGTAATTAAAAGTAACTATAACGACGTCGTCTTGCTCTATGAAATAATCTGGACCATAGGTTTCGTAATTCGAGTCACCGAACATGAAGTAGCCTCCGTGGATCCAGGCCATTACGGGTAAATTTGCAGTCGAGTCCAGCTATTGAAAAATAGGTGGTATAGGGTATAGAAAAAATCTTATTAGGTAGGTTAAATGCAAACAAACAAATACTCTCAAAAGAAAGATAATTTAAATAACTAAAAACCATTGCTAATCAACAGTAAATATAATTTACCAACTTATAAAACATTTGGTGGATTAATTAATAATTGAGGTAGGTACTAAGTCATTCAAAAAAAAACCAACTCTCAGACAAATTAAATCTGTTTTGAAAAAAATATATATCTACAGGTCAATGGCAGTATTTGTCTTGATTAAAAATCGTTTAATTTAGAATAAAAAGGGATTTAAAAATCTCTTATCTCTTACGGTCGTATTAATGGTGGAATGATGGAATTGTTTGGGGATCGGCAAAATGCAACGCCGCAGTAAAAAGACATCAACGGCCTATAAGAGGCATGATCCGTTTCTGTAGAGAAGTGACGGGGTTAGTTTGGGAGCAAAATTAACAATACAACTAATACGTAAAATTCAAAAATTCAGTATTATCAAATTGCATTAAAAAATATTATCGTGCCAATGGTCACGCACATTTCCAATCATTTAAACAAATTTGCATTTTAATCTACGATGTCAATTTATTTTTGAAAAATGTTTTTACTTTAACCGAAAACCGTATATCACAATAATGGTCCTTCTAACCTTGGATTCATTGTATTTGTCTTTAGAATAAATTCAAATGGATGAATAAATAGATCTTTACATTTTAACAAATAGAATGAAATACGTTCAATTGGGTTTTATGCTGCTAAAAAAGTACTGGGGATGAGCTGAATACTCTTTGAAATACAATTCCAATTTTGGGCTTCATATATTGTTTGGAACAGTAGAAATTTAGTTAACATTATAGATATTTTTTGAGTGCTAACATCATTTTTAATGAGCCTTATTACAATTCCGAAATTGGTATCCAACAAAAAGATGATTGTCGATTTTATTTAGTATAGCAATTACAATATTTTCATATTCGTGAATATCACTCCCGTTTTTTTTTAAATCCAATTTAATTTTTAATAGTGTATTTGATAACCTACCAAATAGGACACAGCACATTTTTAATTTGTCAATTAGGCAATAGCAAGACATACTAAGATTCATGCATGCGGACGACCGGAAGGAGGGAAATTAAGTTCTCAAAATAACACTTATTTATATTTAAGTTTGACAAATATGTAAAAATTGAAAAATCTAACTAAAAAAAAAGAATATTAATGCTTTTCCTCAATTCCTCAAATTCAGTATGCATTTGAGAAAATTAAAAATATTTAAACGATATACACCTATGAAATAACTCTATCTTTGTTGTTTTGGTTAATTTTTTGTTTCTTTGTAGAAGCATTTTGTCATCGATTGTTTTAAAGTTTAACTTTGTACAGATAAAGCAATGAGGGGTTGAATGTAATACATACCTTTGGCGTATATACGTTAATAAATAAGCAATCTTCACTGCCTTGGACTTCATTATTTTGTAATTGTAAACATATGCTTCCGTTCGTTGTTGCGTTTCTGGGCTCCGTCCAATCCTGGGGTGGAACGGGTGCCTGAAATTCGACAACTGACTTACTTCAGCGGTCATTATTCGATATATTTATAGGACTTACCGCAAATCTCAAAGAACCCACGGGTGCAGAAGCATAAGGAATCCCTTGAAATGCATAGAAAGTTTTGTTTTGGTTGACAGTAACGGCCTCTCGTCCAATGATTGGGCCGTTGCTGATGGTAACTTGTACGGCGAGCTAAAAAGAGGTATCGTTAACTATAATGAAGAGGTATTAAACTATACCGACAGCCAGTTGTAGACTCGATAGAATAGTAAACGCTGTTAAAATGTTACTTGGGTAAGGTAGCAGCATTGTACGTTGTCAATTTGCTGGTTTTAGATAAAATTATTTTCCAAACGCCGCCGCAAACGAAACTTTTATTGTCGCAAAACGGCGGGGTTTTTGGGATTTATATATATCAGAACAAAACGATATGGTAATGCGTCACGCGTCAGCAATTTTCATCGCAAAACGTGCTCTTCAAGTGTTACCAAAATTTACCGCAATTTGGTCGCTATACGCTAGTTGACTTACTGTAACGCCAACGTATCCGAGAATCGGCCAAATGGCTTCGCAACCCATTTCTTAAAAAATCACTCTGAAGACTACGCCAAGTCCTTCCATAACACTGGTTAAATAATGTAATGCAAATATGGCGATAAGGGTTGTTTTGCATACGTATATTGTTTATAAAATTACGTTTATGGCGAATATGGGCGATTGCACCCAAATCGCAACCGAATCTTATCCGACCAGCTATTTAACATTAATTAAAAATCGACCTGGTTAATTATTCGCGCCCTATCTGTCGCTGTTTCCCGCCAAATTTGTTGGAGCGCAACGTTGTCCATACCAGAGCCATAAATCGTAGTTTATCAATAAACTAAAAGAAAAGTTGATAAGATACGAAACACATGGATGATGGAAATTGCAGAATATGATATTAAGTGAGTGCAAAGATCTATAGAAATATCAGAATGAAGTTTCACGGTCGATCACGTGTTGAACTTTAAAAGCCTCTTTGATATGTAATCCAATCAAAATCATTTAGATGCTTTTGGTTACCGTTCTAGGCGAGTTTTTCTGGCTTGTTCTATATTTTTAAATTTAATATGTATATTGCACAATTAAATGAAAAAAAAAAAACAAATCGCAAGGGAGTCTAAAATCTTAAAATCAAGAACCAAATATGAAAAAACTAACGAACCTATATTCTGGCCAGTTGTCACCAGAATTACAAAATATTGAGACTCTAGCTCTTTGTTAAAATTAAACTACTAAATAGGTTAACAAATGAGATTTAAGGAATAATTCTCAAGATACAATATTTTAATTTAAAATCACCATTAAATTAAAATGTTGTATTATTGCAATTATTATTTATTATTAATAATTACAATTTAATATTTATTTTTCTAACCCCCTAGCCTCTTGATGGTGCGCATCGAGAAGAAAAAAATCTCAGAACAGAAAGAACTGAAAAATGTGCCAGAAGAAAAAACAGTGGAATTAATTAATTAATTTTTGAAAATTAACGTTAGAGTTAAGTACGAGAATGAACAACAAAAATTTAAACAATTTTTCTAAGATATCGAATTTTATTATTATTTTATTTGAGCTCCTTAATGTAGAATTTACAGACTAATCCTGTCTCACGACTACTGACTACCACCACACATGATTTTCTATAGAAATTATGCGAAAAAAAAAATATTCTAAAAGAATCCCAAGCGAGGATAACAATATAACTAGGAAAATTTAACAGACATAACTAAGGGTATGTAATGTAATTTATACGTTCAACATATCGTCAGATCATCGCAAATATGAGGCAAGCGTGAAATTCAAGTTCCGAAAAAATCTAATTTAAAAATATTTAAATAATTCATGTATGAATACGTTGTTCATTAGGTTGTCAATATTAACTAATTTTGGTAAATATTTTATCTTTTACTATATTTTTGAATGTATGATATTACAAATGAATAAGACAACATTTATTCTGTTTATGACGCACTGTCAAGCAAATAGTATATTATGCAACAAGTGTTTAATAAACGAGTGACTTAAAGAGTTTACCAAACGTATTGCATACTATACTTTTTCTACGACCGTTAATTTTTGGGTACATTTTCGCAAAAGACGAATACATTCACTGACATGACCGTCAGAATTGACAAATGTCAAAATTCAAAGCGTGGGAAATATCTCCGAAAAAATCCGATTGCTTCGAAATCCGTGCGGTAAAATCCCGGAAATGTCCGAAGTGGCTCGGGTTCATGGGAAATGAAACTGACGTGATAAACTGACGCTTCCCGCACTCTAGATCAGTGTGTAATCAGGTATTTTACAGACGGGAGTAGAAAAATAAGTTTATATGACTCTCAATATACGAAGCGTGTTTTATTTAAAACTGAAATTATTTTTTTATTTAAAAAAATAAACATAACTAGTAGGTAACCACAAATGTTTTAATTAATACACTAAATTATAAATAAATATTTTTATTAATATCTGCTGCAAGATACTTGGCAGTAATTTCAAGGTAATATAACAATTATTATTGTTAATATTTACTAAATTATTTTGCAACCGCGCTGCAGGACATTTTTGAATTAGAAATAGCGATTACAAATACCAAGTATAATCTGGCGGAACAAAAGTTTCAAACTCTTCAGAGGATTTTGACATGCATTCCAGTGGACCGACAAGACATACATGTCACGTGCTGCGTGCAAGAGCATCTGTCATTTTTTTTCGCAGTTGTTGCCGAAAGGGAACGTGCCCTTCAAACCGTGAAAAATATTTTTGTATGTTTTTTAATAATGGTGCCTACATACTCGGATTGATTGTTGGCAGCTTGCGCGCCACCGGTCATCTACGACGGTCACAAAAAATCGAGGAGATTAAAAATAGGTCCGAAACTGTTGCCGAAAGATTGTATAGATTATATATATTATTCAAAAAGAGGAGCGATCGGGGAAACGGTCAGTGTTTTTATTGAAAAACGGCCCGCTTTTGTACAACCTTAGAGGCTTATTTGTTCGGTTCCTTTTATTGGGACCTAAGGGCATTCTCCTTTATAGCTGATGGTCGTCGATGTAGCCGATTTTTTGAACTGATTTCGCATTTCCTAGGATTGCGTGTTTTGTGGGCCGTTGAAGGCAATTTGCTACAACCATTCCAACCGATATGCTTTACAGGGTGTTTATTAAGTTGTTATGGGAGCACTCGATTTTTTAGGATAGAAAAATTTATTAGAAATAATTATAGTTATAAAATTCATTATTTATTAAAAATATTTTATATTTTAATTAGAATTATTTTAATTAAAAGTTTTAATAAATAAAACAAACTTTTTTGGACCGTATACTAAGCATTTCAAAAAAAGTTGCACTGATTTCCAGGGTAAATAGTATAAACAAAACAGTTTCGTTCAGAAGATGCTGGTCCCCAAAAAATTGCTTTTTTTTATTATTTCTGAATATCAATTTCAACAATACATTTAACCAACCCCTTTTATTTCATGTTTCATGACATGTTTGTGACAACAGAAGAAAGAAATTATTTATTGTTTTCTTTCTAAGTAATATGCACAAAGTTATTCTTTATATTGAATTTCTCTAGAAACGCGAAGTTTACATGCGAGTTATAGTTTTGCTCTTTCAAAATTGAGTTTTGGAATTAATCAAAGGACACTGAATATATACTTTATATTCCATTTCCACTAACTAATTATGGTTTTAACAGGTCATTAGTTCGTTTGAAAATAGCAATAAATAAATAAATAAATATATATATATATATATATATATATATATATATATATATATATATATATATATATATATATATATATATATATATATATATATATATATATATATATATATATATATATATATATATATATATATATATATATATATATATATATATATATATATATATATATATATATATATATATATGTATATATATATATATATATATATATAAACACTTCGAACACAATTTTCGGAGCGCGAGCATTGAAGATGCCAAGTGAGATTTTGATATATATATATATATATATATATATATATATATATATATATATATATATATATATATATATATATATATATATATATATATATATATATATATAAATCAAATCAACACTTTAGATTAATATGCATTAATGCAATATTTTATTTTACTTACATAACAATTTATATAACTCAATGGGTTATTATACAGTTTAGGTGGTGAAAATTAACTATCACTGAGTCAGTTTCAGTCAAGTTCTGAAGAAGCCAAGAAGCCAACCGGATAATTGGTTTGTTAAAAGTGTATTATTATATATTAATACGTATTCTATACACAAAATACATAAAACCACATACATATCACAAGAAAATCCATTACCGGTCTTCCTCTAAATGAAATGTGCCTCACAAAATTGAGATCGGTGCATTATCGGCCCCATTGGAGTATAGTTCACTGTTTTATGGCCAAATCAAATATAATCGTGGTCTAAAATCACACTTAAGCACCTGAAATCGTTTACGAAATAAAAAAGTGGATTTTTAGACTCTTTCAGAGTCGTATATTCTGAAGTCAGTACATCTAATTCCTGTGACACAAAATGAAATACTGGAAATTTCAGTAAAATTAAAAAACAAATATAGCAGCGGCTATGACCAAATTCCGGCTAGTATAGTGAAAGTTTCGATTCCAGTAATACCACAAGTTTTGTGGTACTTAATAAATAACTCAAGGAAGCAATCGGTCTTTCCAGTGCAACTAAAATTAGCTCTAATTAAACCAGTATACAAAAAAGGAGACTTAAAAGATCTAGATAACTATCGACCAATTTTCTAAACTGTTTGAAATGGTAATATGCGCCAGATTAGTTGAATTTATGAATGAATGACAATTGTTTTCTAGCTCTCAACATGCCTACTTAAAAAACAGATCAACCAGTTCCGCCATTTTTCAATTCACAAAAACCATCTTGGTGCAGTTTGAGGAAAAAAACTTAGCCAGAGTTTTATTCTTAGATCTCAGTAAGGCATTCGATTGCCTAGACCATAACATTTTATTGGACAAAATGGAGAGATGGTAAAACACTCAATTGGATAGAATTATACCTTTCAAACAGAAAACAGCACGGCGTCGTCCAAAGTAAAAACAATATTACAAAATCTGAAATCTTACAAAATAGTACAGGTATACCATAGGGTAGCATTCTAGGACCAATTCTTTTTATTTTTTATATAAACGAGTTTTGATAACCAATTATGCGGACGATATAAATATTTTAGCACCAGGAGAAAATCTATTGGCTGTAACAAATAAAACGAAAAATGCATTCAATTCATGGTTCATAC